AACTTTAACCTTAGACTGTCTACTATTGACCTCACCCCTTTCCTAAGAGGTCTGTAGGGGCTAAGAGCACCAATGTGCCTACCGTCCCTGTCCTATCGTTTCTTTCTTTTTTTCTTATATGTATCCATGTATTCATAACTACTTTTTTACTTATACCTATTATCTTGTAAGCAATTGACAAAAATAAATAAATAAATAAAATAAATAGATTACCTTAATTAAATCATCAGTCTTGAGCTAAGATCACATGAAGTTCTAGTACTGCTTTCCAAAGCTTTAATAAGACCACACTTGAAATACTGCATCAAGTTCTGATCACCACAACACAAAAAAGATGTTATGATTCTGAAAAGAATGCAGAGAACAGCAACAAGAATAATGAAGGGGTTAGAAGCTAAAACATATGAATAATGGTTACAGGAATTGGTTATGTCTAGTCTAATGAAGAGAAGGACTAGGGAGACATGCTAGCAGTATTCCAATATTTGAGAGACTCCTATAAAGTCAAGGGGGGTCAAACTATTTTCCAAAGCATCAAAAGACAAGATGAGAAACAATGAATGAAAACTAACCAAGGAGAAAAGCAACCTAGAACTAAGGAGAAATTTCTGAATAGTGAGAGCAATCATCCAATGGAACAACTTGCCTTCAAAAGTTGTGGGTACACTCCATCACTGGAGGCTTTAATCTGTCTAAAATGGTATGGGGTCCTTTGCCCAAACAGGGGGTTGGACTAGAAGAACTCCAAAATCCCTTCCATTATTCTATGATTTCCTTGTCTTCTGAGGAAGCAAAATGTATTTTAAATAATAAAATATCAACAGAAGAAATTAGAAAGGCAATTGGACCCCAAAAAACAAATAAAGCCCCAGGCCTGGATGGAATTCTGTTTGAATTCTATAAGGAGTTTCAAGAGTTATTGGAGGAGTTAATGACAGACTTATATAATGAAGCCTTGGATAGTGCTAATATACCAAAGTCATGGACCAAAGCATATATAACTCTTATTCACAAAGAGCAATCAGACCCACAAAAAATTCAAAATTACAGGCCAATATCACTTTTAAACATAGATTACAAGATTTTGGCCACAATATTGACAGAAAGATTAAAGAAAATATTAAGTAGGGTTATTCATACTGACCAGAATGGGTTTCTGCCATATAGACAAATTAAGACAAATACAAGAATAATTATGGATGTTTTAGAATTCTATGAAGTACACACAATTAAAACAATGGCACTGATGTTTTTAGACACTCAGAACGCTTTTGACAATTTGAATTGGAATTTTCTTATTAAACAATTGACAGGCATGAAATTTGGTGAAATTTTTTTAAGATTCATTAAAACAATATATAATACCCAAACTCCAAAAATATTAATAAATGGGGAAAATACAGATAATATAAGGATAAATAAGGGTGTAAGACAAGGATGCCCCTTAGCTCCCCTACTTATATTAGTAGAAGACACTACTGGTACAAATCTGACAAAATCAAGAGATCAGGGGGTTAAAAGTTAGAAAAGAGGAGTACAAACTTCAAACATTTGCTGACAATATGTCATTTATAGTGGAAGATCCCCTGAAAATGACACCCATTTTGATGAAAAAAATAGAACAATATGGAAAGGTGGCAGGGTTAAACATTAATAAAGAAAAAACAAAAGTGATAACAAAAAACTGTACAAATGAACAAAAGGAAGAACTAACAAAGAGATTAAGGATACAGGTGGTAAATAAAGTAAAATATTTGGGGATATGGCTGACAGCTAGGTGCTCATCAATTAAAAAAGATAATTACAATAAATTAACAATTCAAATATTCAAACAGATAATTGGGCTAAATTAAAAATATCTCTATTAGGCCGTATTGCAACAGTAAAAATGAATATTTTTCCAAAATTATTGTCTTTATTTCAGATGGTGCCAGTCAAGTTGGAAAAAAGCTTTTTTGAAGAACTAAATAAACATATATCCAAATTTATATGGCAGGGGGAAAAACAGAATAAAATATAAATTATTACAGGATGATAGAAAGAAAGGAGGCTTTGGTCTCCCAGATTTTGATAGTAACCTGCCTCAAAGACTGAGTTAATTTGATAAATAAAAGGATCTTAACATTGGAGGGCTTTGATCTCCAGCTTGAATGGCACACATTTATGTGGGATGGAAAGAGTAAACACCACTTATACTTTCAAAGGCATTATATAAGGAGTGTGTTATTAACTATTTGGGAAAAAATAAAAAAAGTACATTACTGTAAGGTCCCACTGTGGTTATCTACAATGGAGGCAGTTACACATCCAAACGTTTTAGATTTTGATAATATTTTAAGATATAAAGATCTGTTACATCAAACCAGAGAGTTAAAGGGTAAGAATCAAATACAAATTCAAGGAAAAGAGATAGCATGGTGGCCCTATGCACAGATACAAATGTATTACAAAATGATAAAGAACAATTTGGTTTTTAATATGACCTACCAAGAATTAGATAAGATTTGGCATGGAGAGGAAAGAAAATTGATTAGTAAAATATATAAATATCTATTGGATTATAAATTAAAAGAAGAAACAGTCAAGGAGTGTATGATAATTTGGGCAAAAAATGTGGGCCACAGTACTGAATTAGACAAGTGGGAACACATTTGGGAAATAAATTACAAACTAACTATGTCAGCCTCGTACAAAGAGAATCTCTATAAAATGATGTATCATTGGCACTTGCCACCCGTGAGACTAGATAAGATGTTCCCAAACCTCCCACCAAACTTTTGGAAGTGTAACTGTGTTCAGGGAACATACTTTCATATGTGGTGGACATGTCCATATGCCCAAAAGTTTTGGAAAAATATCAAAAATTGGATTCTAAATATAACTAAACAAGATATAAAACTTGAACCCGAAACCTTTTTGCTGGGTATGATAGACTCAAAAATAGAAAAAAATATCAATATTTAATCTTGCACATTATAACGGCAGCCAGAATAAGCTATGCTCAAAATTGGAAATTGTCTATTGTCCCTTCAGAGGAGATGGTCATTAAAAAAAATCACAAGTGTGCAGAGATGGACAGCCTCACCAAATTATTAAGAAACAACAAAGATAGTGAATACTACAAAGTTTGGAACTGTTGGTATGAATGGTTAAAGAAAAAGCAACATTTAACAACTAAATAAGTTATGAAACTATGAAGGACATGCATATAATCATGAAATATTCTGCGAAATTAAAACATTAAAAGAACGAGGAAAGTATTGTAACAAGGTAGATCACTTCAATGTTATGGGGTAAAAGAAAGAAAAGAAAAGTGTAACCAATGCTCAATACCTGCTGCAAAATTTATATATGTATATATATTTGTTTATATGTTTGTTTCTTTTTAAATGTTTTAAATATATGAAACTTAAATAAACTTTATTTTAATTTAAAAATTAAAAAAAATGAACTGTTGTAAAAAAAATGTTAAAATGTGTGTCTTATTATTTACAACATTCAGACATTGTTTTTATAGGTTGACCAGTGATTTTGGTTACATTTAGACATCCTTGTGGACTCATATAAAAATTAGATTATTTTCATTAATGATGCTGTGTATATATTTTCAGGAAGGGATCCATGTTTTCCTGGAAAATTATCTCCTTCCTATTTGCCATCCAGGAGATCAACCAGGATCTCTTCCCCAATATCTCCCTGGGCTATAACCTCCATGAAAACCATTTCAGTTCCATCATGACTTTGGATGCCTTGCTGGATTTGCTTTCCAACGGGGAGGCAAATATTCCAAACTACAGATGTGGAAGACATAATAGACCTGTGGTAGTTTTTGATGGGTCCAATGCTGATATCTCCATTCAGATTTCAAATATGTTGGACATTTATAAAATGCCACAGGTGTGTGCAAGGGTTGTGGGACCCTACTCCTCCTTTGAATTTTCCATGAAATTAACGGGCAGCTTTTCATCATTGAAACTATTGGCCTAATGAAATTAGTGTGGTTCTAAATTCACAAAGAACAGTAAACATTAAACCAGACAGATCTGAAATACTTTAGTCCAATCCAAGTTATATTCTTCCTATTTGTGGAAGAAATACTGCATACCCAAGGATTAGTGGAAGGGGGTGCAACCTATGAACAGACCCAAAAAAACATGTATATAGTCAGGTTGAGGTGTTTTCTTAGATTTCAAGTGCTAGTTTCTTGGCTTCGATTTGACTCAACAAATATGTCATGCCCCTGTCAGAGTCTGAATCTGAGGTGGAAGATGAACAGCTGATAGGGAGTGGGAGCGTGTCTCCATTGGCTGTGGGGGAGGCTGGGGAAGGGCAAAGTCCAGCTCGGCAGAGCAGAGGTGAGATAGAACAAGAGAGAGGGAGTTCAGAGGAAGACCCAGGCCCACCTCCTCTTCATCCTAGGGTATGCAGGGAAGAACGGAGAAAGGAGCAATGTGGGTTGCGTGGCTTGTGGGGGAGGAAAGGGCCCTGATTCCCTTCATTAGCCACACCTAGGAATGAAAGTTTATAAGAACTGAATGCTGACTGCAGCAGCTGCTGCGAGCAAATGTGACTTTATCCTGTGTTGTCTTTGCTTATCTGTGTTCCTGGCATCTTTCCAACCATGTGAGTTTTCCCATGCCTGCACATCTGGAATTCTTGCTCCTGCCCTGTCAAACTAATTACCACAGTTTGGCTTGATTGGATTTATAGTTACAGTTTTGTGGAAGAAACATTTATAGTTACAGTTTTTGTTGATCACGTTTTGGACTTGATTCGTTGCAGTCAAAGGCTGTTCCTGGGAGAGTTTCTCTCCAGCCAGAAGGTAACCTGGACATTGGGGGCAAAGTTGGAGCTAATAAAGGTTATTGATTATCTGACTGTGTTGTCTTTGTGCCATGCCCCAAGTCATCACAAAATAATACATTTTCCCTTTGCAGATGAGTTATGTTCCTGCATCACAGCCACTGAATGACAAAATACTGCCCCCTTCTTTCTACCGAATGGTCCCCAAAGAAGGAGTTCAGTATCCTGAAATTATCAAACTGCTCCGGCATTTCAGGTGGACATTGGTCGGTCTGGTTGCTCCAGACTCCGATGGTGGAGAGAGGTTCATGAGAAGTTTGACTTCTCTGCTTGTCAGGAATGGCATTTGCGTTGTTTTATCCCAAAGCTTCCCTGTAACTTCCCCTCATGTACTTGTTGATGATTTTCAATTGTACAAATGGAGACAAGTTAATGTCTTTGTTTACTATGTGGAGATTGGTTCCTTCATTAGAGGAATATTCATTACTCAGAAGATCAACGAACCTTACACACAACCCACAGTTGGAAAGGTCTGGATCACTTCAGCTTTGTGGGATTTTACTTTAGATTTACAATATACCACATTGATTATTCCATCTATCTATGGCTACATTTCCTTCTTAATCCAGACAAATAAAAATGCCAACTATGGTGATTTTCAATCTGTTTATGCAGCTATGACAGACTTTATGGACAAAACATTTCACTGTTCATATTCCAAGCATGGCTTGTCTGTGAAAGGCTGGACAAGATGCTCAGAGAATAAGGATGCAGAAGCTCTGCCCCAAGAGCAGAAAGAAGGAATCCTGTCTCTTGACAGCTACATCACTTATCGCTCTATATGGACTGTGGCCAGGGCCTTAAATACTGCATATTCATCCAGATCCAAAAGGAAAAGGAAGGATAATAAAGATTGCTTGGCTCTTCAGCACTTACAGCCATGGCAGGTATTCTCTCTGCATAATCTTCTGGTGCTATTCTTTCTTATTTTTGTTTAACTTAAATTTATCTATGGAGTTTAATATTTAATTCAGAGATTTAGCTTTCCTGAAATCTCATTTTTTGACCTGGACTAACTTTTTGTAGGTGGGGACTCAGTGGCTCAGTGGCTAGGATGCTGAGCTTGTCCACCAGAAAGGTCGGCAGCTTGGTGGTTTGAATCCCCAGCACAGTGTAACAGAGTGAGCTCCTGTTACTTGTCCCAGCTTCTGCCAACCTAGCAGTTCGAAAGCATGTAAAAAAATGCTGGTAGAAAAATAGGGACCACTTTGGTTTTAAGGTAACAGCATTCTATGCACCTTCAGCATTTAGTCATGCCAGCCACATGACCACAGAGATGTCTTTGGACAGTGCTGGCTCTTCGGCCTTGTAACGGAGATGAGCATTGCCCCATAGAGCTGGAACAGACTAGTACATACCGTGTTTCTCACAAAATAAGGCTGTGCCTTATTTTTTTTGACCCCCCCCCCCCCAAAAAAAATGGCTAGGCCGTTTTTCAGGGGTGACTTAATTCCCCCCCTTGCATCCTTGGGTGGGTGGGTGGCAATGGCTTGGATGTTGACCTTGGTGTTCGTGAGGCACTTCATATCGGGAAACCTTCTGCCACCGTTGCTTTCCCTTCTCCCCATGCTGCCATGGCATTTAGAGCAATGCCGCAGCATTTGGCACAGCCACACACAGCCAGCCAGGGCTCCTCCCTGCAACCAGAGCCCAGCAGAGACACTCGGCTTCAGGCGCTCCTGTTGCCACCTTCCCTTCGCCTTTGAAGGCAAAGCCAATTCTTTTAAAAACAACGCCCTACTACCAGTACGACAAAGACTCCCCTGGACGAGAGGGCAGCCCACCCACACGTGGGGTGGCAAATCTCCCAGGGCCACAGCGTAGGATCGGCCCACCCCGGGAGAAGCGCCCAGCTGCCATCCCTGCCTGGCACCAGGCAGAATGTGAAGAGCTTCACCTGGGGAGCCCAGTGCAGCTGACAGGTGGGCCCTCTGCCCGGTGGCGGAGCTCTCACCAAGGCAATGAGTGCCTCCCCACTGGACCCTCTGCTCATCCCGCCGGGGCTGTGCCAGAGCCATGTGGGCTGGGCAGAGCCGGGAAAGCAAGCCACAGGTGTGCGCCTGCCTGCCAACCAAAAGAACCGGGCCGACCTAAGCTTGGCTTCCTTCCCAAGTCCCTCCAGCTCAAACCCGAAGGGGCCACCGGGAGAGGCTGCCTGAGGCAGTGATAGCACCCACTTGTCCGCAGACAGGGAGGTGAGGCAATGGCCTGTGCCGTGTCCTCTTCTGAGCTGAGCCCCGCTGAGTGAGCGCCCCTGCCCAATGCTCATGCCGCTGCAGCGTTTGGAGCTGCTGGTGCATTTGGAGATGCGTGGGGATGGGGACAGGCTGGGCGAAGGGTGGAAAGGTCAGGCGGCTTTGGGCTCTCTCCACTGGACCCACCAGCCAAGGAAGCAGTGCTGCTGTCCCCTCATCTCCCTGTCCATGGACAGGTGGGCACTATCACTGCCTCAGGCAGCCTCTCCCGGTGGCCCCTTTGGGTTTGAGCTGGAGGGACTTTGGAAGGAAGCCAAGCTCAGGTCAGCCTGGCTCTTTCGGTTGGCAGAGGGAGCGCACCCACGGTTTGCTTTCCCGGCTCCGCCCAGCCCACACGGCTCTTGCATGGCCCTGGCAGGATAAGTGGAGGGTCCAGCGGGAAGGCACTTGCTGCCTTGGCAAGAGCTCCACCACCGGGCAGGAGGGCCCACCTGTCAGCTGCGCTGGGCGCCCCAGGTGAAGCTCTTCGTGCTCTGCCCAGAGCCAGGCAGGGATTGTGGCTGGGAGCTTCTCCTGGGGTGGGCTGATCCTGCGCTGCAGCCATGGGAGATTTGCCTTCCCCATGGAGTTGGGCTGCCCTCTTGGGCAGGGGAGTCTTTGTTCTACTGGTAATAGGGCATCGTTTTAAAAAGAATTGGCTTTGCCTTCAAAGGCGAAGGGAAGGTGGCGACAGGAGCACCTGAAGCCGAGTGTCTCTGCTGGGCTCCGGTTGCAGGGAGGAGCCCTGGCTGGCCGCATGTGGCTGCACCAAATGCCGCAGTGTTGATTTAAATGCTGTGGCAGCATGGGGAGAAGGGAAAGCAATGGTGGCAGAAGGTTTCCCAATACAAAGTGCCCCACCAGCGCCGAAGTCAATGCAGGCAGCACCATATCCAGGTATGCAACAAAAGTACTTCCTAACGGCAAGTTCCCCCCATCATTCCCCCTCATTTTGCATGTTTAATATAGGCCTTAATTTGGGGGGAGGAGCTTAATTTGATTTTATGCCTATAAAGCATGCTGGGACTTCCTATTGGGGGAGGCCGTATTGCTGGAGAAACACAGTACATATGAGGGGAACCTTTATCTTTACCTTAACTCTATATATGCATCATTGGTAACATTGGCCCTTTTCATCTCTTATATGTATTAAATCATTAGCCCTTCCTTAATTTACATAAAGATAACATATTGGAACTTGCAAGATTAATGTCCTTTAAGGTTTTATTTTTTCATTTTATTATTGTTACATTATGTATATCAGGATTCTGGCTATTGCCCTAATTAAATCATGAGCCTTGAGCCAAGCTTCAAAAGAAACCAAAAGATTTATTAGGAGCAACATGTCCAGCATTAACCTGTATGAAGCCAACTCTGGCACACGTAGTTTACAGTCACTTGTGACGCTGTTTCCCCCCTCCGCCCTGGGTGACTCATAAATCAGATTCTCCAATGAAGCACGTTCACCAGCTGGATGCCATCAATCACATTCTCCCATTAAGGATTTTCGCAGGCAGAAGATCCAGTTGCTTAGCTACAGTCTTTGTAAGATAAGTTTTGGAATGTACTTCTGGTTTTAAAATGCCACTCTGCTCTTTCAGATTTCCTCCCCTCCCTCTTGTTTATGGCAACTCTAAAATAGGCATAGAAATGCTTTACGAGTTTACAATGTATTTTGTTGATTAGGTTATTTGCATGGACCATACCAGAAATCCCTACCAAATATAAGCATTGCAGTAAATGTAGATATGGAATACTGGAACTGTGCAGAATGATCCTGTCAGAATCCGTGCTCTATTTTCTAAGTTTTCTCTTCATCTCTCTTGTTTTAGCTTCATTTTTTCCTGCAAAGCTCGCAGCTGTACAATAACTCCTTGGATGGATTATATCTGGATGAGAGTGGAGAGCTGGCTGCTGATCTTGACATCATGAGTTGGGCCCAGTTTCCCAACAAATCAGTGGTCCGGGCAAAGTTTGGGAGCCTAACAAGACAGGGATCAGGAAAAGCCATGTTTACTATTGAGCAGGAAGCAATGGTGTCCCCTAAATGGCTCAACCAGGTGAAGTAATTTTTCTTCTTCAGTTCTTTTCAAAACCACAGGAGTGCCAGAACTGCTCTCTGGAAGATAGGCTCTAATGACAGAGTCTTGCAGGATTGATTTGTATGTATTTATTTATTTTATTTGTCATAACAGGTATAATTATAAACATGATTATGAATACATGAAATGGATATAAATAAAAAGGAACATTAGGACAGGGAGGGCAGACACGTTGGTGCGCTTATGTAGATTCCTACAGACCTCTTAGGAAGGGATGAGGTCAACAGTAGACCGTCTGAGGTTAAAGTTTTGGGGGTTTGGGGAAGCAGCCACAGAGTCAGGTTGCGTATTCCAGACATTGACCACTCTATTGCTGAAGTCATATTTTCTGCAACCGAGTTTGGTGCAGTTCATCTTGAGTTTGTACTTATTGTGTGCTCTTTTATTGTTGTGGTTGAAGCTGAAGTAGTCATTGACAGGTAGGACATTGCAATAGATAATTTAGATCCAACTGAAGATGACATAGTTCTGTGTTAAAATTTCAAGTCTGGTGGCATAAGGTATTTTGTTGCAAGTAGGCAACTGCACTTCTGACCTTCCAGAGAATTAGGGGGTTTTCTGAGCCACAACTCTTAGCCAAATATGGCTTCCCAGACTCATGCCTCAGCATGCATATTTTTCAATGAAACAGACCAAGACAAGAAGATCATCTTATTATGATTGATTCAGACATTCTGACTAAAAAGGATTTTTCTCATTCAAAGAGGGAACTCCCAATTCTTAGCTTACATTTCATTTTATGCTTAATGAAACAAAACACAAAAGAAAAGATGATTGGACATGACAATAGTCACTTCCTCTTTGCATAGGGAAACAATTACATTTAGTCAATCATGTTCCATGTACTGCAGTGGTGGGATTCAAATTTTTTTTACTACTGGTTCTGTGGGCATGGCTTGGTGGGCATGGTGTGGCTTGGTGGGCATGGCAGGGGAAGGATGCTGTAAAATCTCCGTTCCCACCCCACTCCAGGGGAAGGTTACTGCAAAATCCCCATTCCCTCCCTACCCTACTAACCTGCTTTCCAGCTCCATTCTCCTATGCCAAGCAACCAAAGAAGACCCAGCCAATTAGCTGGGACTCAGGAGCCAGAGAATAGATGGAGGCAGAGCCAGTCAGAGGTGGTATTTCCCAGTTCTCTGAACTGCTCAAAATTTCCTCTACCAGCTCTAGAGAACTGATCAGAACCTGCTGAATACCACCTCTGATGTACTATATGTCCATTTAAATGAGGTCTGATGAAAGCAGAGCCCTTAAATTTAAAATGTTTATGAGGAAATAATCATAAGCTTGCTTGAAGTTCACAGAGAAAGACAAACCAGGTATCAATTTATGTTAAAGACTCTTAATCAGAAGACAAACTCCAGACATCCTATCCTATCTGGACCTGGGGACCAAAATGGTTTATCTTTTCAATCCCCCCTTCCTCCTTCCCCACTTGCCTCTTCAGTGGAGCTTATGACCATCTGGATGTCCATGTTCTTTTTGCCAGGAAATCTACTGCAGTATCTTTTTTCTTTCTTCCCAACTAAAACCACTTTACCTTTAGTT